TCGGCTTCGGCACTAGATACCTATTTTAATGACATGTACAAGCGGGCGGCCCCAAAGCCAGCCGCAAATGCAACGGCATCGCCGGCCCCGGACTCTGCAGCTCTCCGCGCGGCAGTGCTGAGCTTTGCCAAAAAGCAACCAGCACCTGCACCACCACCAGCACCAGCTATACGCGAACGGGGGGATAGGAGACAACCACCACCACCACAACAACAGCAACAACAACACCAACGCCAACAACAGCGGACATCGCGCTCCAACACCAGGTCATCGCGACACTCTCGTTCTGGCTCCTCTTCATCGGCCATGGCAGGGGAAGGAGAAGCGCTCGCGGTGCGGCAGCGCCTGAAGCTATTCGGAGAAGCGGACGAAACCCCCCTATCACCCTCGACAACGACGAGTCATGCGCGGAAGCGCCCCGGCAGTCCGGAAAAAGTCGACTCTTCATCGCTCGACGACATCTCCTCTCTCAAATCGATGTTCGAACAGCAGACTACCGCAAAGAGCCCGTCCCTGGCTGCCGCAATCGTCGCAACCAGTGCTGGTCAGAGCCCGAGCCCGAGCATGAGCCCGAAACCCCCGGTTGCGCCCAAACCGTCCTCGGTCTCGGTGGCTTCGAGGAACTCGGAGAGTTCCAGCGCGATAACGGCGGCGTCCCGCGCGCATGCTTCGAGTCCGCGGACTACCGGTGGAGCGGGAGGACCGGCGCCGTGGAAGAGGGTAGATCTGGACCGACCTACAATCGCAAGGACGGAGTCCAGGGAGTCGGCGGCAACGAGGACCCATGCTTCGAGCCCGCAGACTACCGGTGGGGGTGCAAGGGGAGCTCCGATGCCTCCACTACCACGGAAGGCTCGTGGACCGCGGCGTAAACCCCCCACGACAACCACCAACGTGCGACCATCCCACCCCGCGCGCACAACCCCCGTGACAGCCACGGTGGGGGCGGGTGTGTCGAGTCCGGCGCCTCTACCACCGAAGAAGAAGAAAGTGGACATGTCTCCCATCGCACGGACGGAATCGGCCGCTTCGCATGACTTGGAACGGATCAAGTCCAAGCCTCCGCCGCCAAAGAAGCCGCCGATCGCGCGGACGGAATCACTGGACTCGGGAATCTCGGGTGTAGGAGCGCGGAACGACGCACTGGCGGCAGCAACGGTAGCCCATGCATCATCGAGGCCCACATCGGCACTCCCGTCTCCACAAACGACGGGCGGAAGATCACCGCTGCCTCCCCCGACGAGGAAGAAGGCGACAGGAGACGCTTCCCCAGTAAGACACACCGAATCGGTGGTGTCGCACAACTCGGGACGGCCCAGCGCCTTGACGGCGGCAACGATAGCTCACGCTTCGAGGCCGCAGAATACCGGAGGAGGAGGGGCTCCGATGCCTCCACTACCGCGGAAAGCGCGCCCACCACCACGGAAACTTCCCTCCACCAGTAACTTACGACCCACCCTACCCGCGCGCACATCATCAACGGCCTCAGCGTCTTCAGGCTCCAGCGCGCCCACGGCGGCAGCAAGGGCCCACATTTCGTCTCCACGCAAGTCGGACGGCCAAACTCCTCCGCCGCGACGGAAGATCATTGACCCGCCTTCGTTTGCGCGGGCAACCTCCGAAACCTCCGCCTCTGGCGCCTCCATCGCAACAACCGTCGTCCTCCGACCACCCCCACCACCCCAGAAAAAACCCTTCCTCCCGACCAGCACCCGCAAACCACCGGCCCCCCTCCCCCGTCGTCGTCGCTCCCTCCCCACCATCCCACCACCCATCCCTTCCCGCCCTGCCGCCACAATCGCCGCCTCCCTTGCGCCCTCGCGCTCCATCCCCCCAGGGCCACGTAAACCACCCGCCCCCGTCCCGCCGCACAAACCTTCACCGCAACGGCGCCGCTCCCTCCCCGCCCTCCCGCGGACCCTGCGCCCACCGCGTAGTCCCACCCCCCCACCACCGAAGCCTCCGCCGCGCCGCCACCGCCACAACGAAGTGCTCAACCACACGTGGGCACGCACCATCCCCGCGGCTGCTAGACGCCGCTACGAGGGCTTGTTCGCATCTAACTCCGGGGTACAAGTATATCGAGAACTATGTCGTCCGTGAACTGTGGCAGCGAAGTCGCCTCGAGAACCGTGTGCTCGCCGAGGTGTGGCAGCTTGTGGATCGAGGCGCGAAGGGACGGCTCAGCAGGGAGGAGTGGGTGTGGCCTGTGGATCATCGATACCGCGCTCAGGGGCGGGAAGGTCCCCGTTAGGGTCGAGGAGGGCGTGTGGAAGAGTGCTGGTGGGACGATGGATGTGGATGCGGGGAGGGAGAAGGGTAGGGGAAGGGGAAGGTGATTGGAAGGTGATGGGAAGATGATGGTGATGGTCATGATGACGATGTAGACGGTATAAACGTAATTGATAATACCTGTTCGAGCTTTGCTCGATGAACTTGAGCTACCTACCTGCAGCGCGTGGACCATGGAAAGCACTCGGATTACGGATGATGTGGTGGGATTGGTTAACCTTTTGCGTGTATATAAGCGATTGTCTATGTACCGATCCGCCACCGACTTTCGTCTCCGGTTCTCGGAGCCTGGAGCCTAGAGGGCGTGCTGGTGCGTGCACTGGGTGGTGTTACATATTACCGGGAACCGGTCTAATCACGGAGCAAATAGAGCAAAACAGACGAACCAGAAATAGACGAACTAGAAATAGTGAAAGTGAAAGTGAACCCTTTTTTCGTCCTTTTTTTTCTAGAAAAAAGCTACGAAGAAGCCGACATGCCAGTCCAGTCCAGTAGAGGTTATCCGTCGTTGTGTCCTTGCCGACTAGGTATATTGTATTAACGCAGTATATACGCCTTCAAGTCCTGCCGGGTCTGACACCGAGCGGCGCGGGCCTGAACTTTAGCCTCACGCCGAGCGGCGCGGGCTTGGAGCAGAACATGAACCCGAGCCTGAACTGGAACTGGAACCTGGGTCTGAACTTTAACCTGGGCCAGGGGTTGAACTTTAACCTGGGCCTGGGTCTTAAGCTGACGAGCCTGAACTTGAGCCTGACGCTGAGCGACGCCCTGGATCGCAACCTGACGAGCGTGACGGCGCACAGCGCGGGCCTGGAGCTCAGCTTGAAGAGCCTGACGCCGAGCGGCGCGGGCCTGAACTTGAATGCGCGCCTGTCTCTCGATGCGACGAGCCTGACGGGGCGTGTTAACCATTCCAGTCATATCCTCGTCTGGCATGATCTTGAAGAATTTCTTCCAGCCATCTCCTCCTCCCTGTTCGTAGTAGACGATGTAGCACGCCTGATCCACGTCCTTAAAAGTCATCCAGACCTGTTCGACGGTGTGAGTATCGCCGGCCAAGCTGTCGAGGGGGATAGCGTCGAGCGTTTTGCCGATGCGGATGACGAGGCCGCGGCGCTCCGCCGCCGCCCCCGCACCGTGCACGTCTTCCATCATGCCCCTAAAGTTGCGGTCAATAAACTCATGGAATGGGAGCGTGCGCCGAACCCCGATCAAACCTGTGCGCCCAACGTTGGGCAAAGCGGAGAAGGACGCTTTCTCCATAACGAAGGGGACGAGCTCGCCGGTCAGGTTCGCGGTGTTCCGCATGTGGTGCCGCAGGCGACGAGAGAACGGGAGCCGCCGCTTGTAGTCGCCGGCGTGCCGCATCGTCGTCTTCGCGGGCTTGGTCGTCGGAGGAGGAGGGGCCATGGCCGGGTTGGTCGCCATGGTTGTCGTGTTGGTCGTGGTGGGGGGGGAAGGCGTGGGGGGGTTGAAGTAGATGGGAGGGAGGGCAGTGGATGTATTACCCGGGGTCGATAGGGTTAACCCGTATCTATTCCTATAAAGGGCAGTGGTGTGGCGATTTCCGTGGCTCAACCCTAAGTTTCCGACCGTCGGATTTTGGAGCGAAGCGACTGCCCAGCCCTAATATTTTGGAGCAGAGCCGTGGAGGAGCTTTAGCGACGATACTGCGGAGAGACTGCGCTGCCGTTACACTGCTAGATTTGTAGATCTCCGTGGACTCTAATAGAATGGAATTTATTCATTTCTTTACCGCCACTCAGTATCGCATTTTAACTTCAACTCCCTTTACGGTTTACGGGGAAGACAAAAAAGCGGGGCCACAATGTGTCCACTATTAAAGTTGTGGTGAAGCCTATTATTTAGACTTATGGCTGAGTAATCTGAGAACTGCCCAACACTCTGTTCACCTCACAGTTCTCCGGAAACTGAAACTGGGCAGTATTCGATGTCCCGGCGGGGAACTGAATTTCGCTCTAAAACTGGAACTGAAAACTGAGGCCATCCAAACGGGCCCTAATACTGTTCTTTAGATGGAAGTTCAACGACTGCCACGGCAACGACGAAGAGTCAGAACACTACAAGGCGTGGAAGCAGATACTCAGCCTCTGTTTCAAGATCGTATTTCGAATGATGCCGCAGAAGTTACGATGCCGCTAGATCTACAGATTGAACCTACTGTACCTGCTCCAGCTCACTCTAGCGATGATACCGCGTATTGCAGAACCTGCCATACTTATGACTTTACATTAAGTGGCGCTGGCCTAATGACCACACACCGTGTGGTCACCACACGGATGTTTCCTAGTACTCGCCGTTGGGTGGGTCGAGTTCGAATTGCGTTGGATACTTCACATCTTGCACCGGGGAGATCCATAGGATTCCAATACCTAGACTTCCCCGTCAACTCCCGTCCCTCTGCTTGGTGGTCCACGGGAGTCCTGCTCTGTGTATACGACCTGGCTGCTCATGCAATCCATTCGGTCCTTTTCACCGAGTACATAGGTGCCCACTGGACCCTTTTCAATCCCTCTATTCCGACACCAACCGCAGCTACAAGCCTGACTGTTGGCCCTAGCATGCCAGTGGAAGACCTGGATCGATGTGGCCTGGAGGTAATAGCTATCCATTTATATCAAGCTATTTCTAGAGGACTTTCTTGCGGAGTTTATCCACCCAATACCAACCTCACTCGTGGGTCAAGCTCAAGCTCAAGCTCAAGCTTAACACCCAGGCTGGCTCGCCGAGTGACATACCATGCTCTCGCGGCTCGGAGACTCGCTAGCGCCAGCATGCAAGTCATTCGCGGCCCCGCCAGGGTTCGTCAAGACAACACGTAACCCAAAGCAGTTCCCAGGGTAGTTTCGTGAACTTCGAGCTGTTGCTGCGTGACCGCCTTCTCCAAACCAAAGATCCTACCTCAATTCTTCCGCTCGGCCACAGCACATCCCCCACCCGGCCTGCGAAAATGCGTTCCTTCACGGGAGCCCTGCTTCCTCTCCTCGGTCCTCACCACCGTCAATGCGAAGCTCATCCTGCCGCCCTCGTTCGCGCCCGCGCCCGTCTTCAGAAATATCAATCTACTGCGCTCGATAGATCTGACGAAACCGTACTCGAAGGAAGTCATTTCCGTTATCGTCGAGAATGTCTCGAAAGAGGGGCAGACCGAGTATTATATGCCGTTTGCGGCCGACGAGGTGACGAAAGTCAGCTTCTTCGAGGCCGGGGACAAGAAGGCCCCCTTCGGAGAGTTTAAGGTCGATGAGGTGGAGTTCGATCCTCAAAGGTGCGCTACGGACTGGAGTTTGCCCTTTCTTTTTGGGGGGTTTGTGGGTGTGGAGTTGGAACTGATGTGGAGACCTGCACAGTCCGACACAATACTACCGCATTCTCTTGACCGAACCTCTCGCGCCCGGAAACCAGATCACCCTCCAAGTGGCTATCGGCAAGACTACCGTCGTCGAGCCCATTCCCGCCGAGATCGAGCAGGTCGAGAAGCAGTTCCTCCAGTGGACCGGCACGCAATACGTGGCGAGCGCGTACGTCACCGACAAGCAAAAGACGAAGCTGAAGCTGCCCAACAATGAAGCGCCCGAGTTCACCAAGCTCACCGCGAAATCCGACGGCACCTCCGATCCCACCAAGGTCGGCTCAGCGTTCACGTACGGTCCCTACGAGGACGTGAAGCCGTCGAGCGGCGCCGGAAAGACCGTTAAGATCAGATACGAGTACACGCATCCCGTCATCGTGATGGAGAAGCTCACGCGCGATATCGAGGTCTCCCATTGGGGCGGCAACATCGCTTTCGAGGAGAAATACGTCATGACCAATGCCGCGGCGAAGCTTAAGAACCAGTTCTCGCGTGTCAAGTGGGCGGCGGCCAGCTACTACGGTCCCCCGACGTCTGCGATCAAGGCCCTCACTTACAACTTGAAGGTGGGCTCGATCGGCCCTTACTTCACCGATGAGATTGGAAATGTTTCGACTTCCCGCTTCCGCAGCAACATGCGCGAGTCGCATCTGGAGATCAAGCCGAGGTATCCGGTGTTTGGTGGTTGGAACTACACCTTCACCCTTGGGTGGAACCACGATCTGAGGGAGTTCGTCCGGGCGAAGCCCAATGGCGAGGATTTCGTGCTCAGGGTTCCGCTGTTGGAGGGGCCTAAGGAGCCCGTCGTCTACGGCGATGTCGAGATTAGGGTGATCTTGCCCGAAGGTGCCACGTAAGTCACCAACCCACACCTATCAACCCCCAACCCATATCTAACACCGTTCCAGCGACGTCAAATACTCATCCCCCATCCCCATCATTGGAGAGGAGCACTTCCTCCACAAGACGTTCATGGACACTATTGGCCGCACCGCCTTCAAGTTGCGCTTTTCCAACGTAGTTGACGAGCAGCACCACAAGGAGCTGATCGTGACCTACCATCTGCCCAAGACCGCTGGCTTCCGGAAGCCATTCGTCATCTTCACTGCGCTGTCGACGGTATTCGTGTTTTCGTGGATAGTCAGCAAGATCGATGTGAGGATCGGAAAATAGAGGGCCGCTGTTAGTTTTTAGGGGTTCGCAGGGTCGGGTTTTCCTTTTTCTTTTGCCTTTTCGTGTTTGGGTTTTTTGCTCTGTAGCTTTATGGAAAAGTCCCGGTGTAATCTTCAAAGCCTATCATCTGAGCTTCTAGAAGCTGGTGTCGAAGCTCGTTAGTCTCCGCACTCGTGACATCGGAGACTGCCGACAAACGGGCCCTCCAGGGTCCCACGACTCTTGATCCACTCCACACCACCCCACCCACCACCAACCACCCCAATGCGCTCCCTCCTCTTCCGCCGCGGCCTCCGCGCCCCTCCGCGTTACTACTCTACCCTCCGCGCCTCCTCGCGATTATCGCAATACCTGTCGATCACGCCGGAAGTGCAATCGGCGCTGTCGGCCGGACATCCCGTCGTCGCGCTCGAATCCGCAATCTACACGCACGGCTTCCCGCACCCGGCGAACCTCTCGCTCGCGCGCGAGATCGAGGCCGTCATCCGCGCGAACGGCGCAGTCCCCGCCACCATCTGCATCCTCAACGGCAAGGCGCGGATCGGGCTCGAGGCGAAGGAGCTCGAGCAGCTCGCTGACGCAGCGGGGAAGAGCGGTACCGCTAAGGTGAGTAGACGAGACCTGGGATATCTCCTTGCTGGCGCGGGCGCGACGAAGATCGGTGGCACGACGATCGCGGGCACGAGTGTCCTTGCGCACCTCGCCGGGATTAAGGTATTCGCGACTGGTGGCCTGGGCGGCGTCCACAGGGGTGTTCAGAATACCATGGATGTTTCTGCGGATCTGACGGAGTTGGGACGCACGCCTGTCGCTGTTGTATGTGCGGGCTCCAAAGCGTTCCTGGATCTGCCACGGACACTGGAGTATCTGGAGACCGAGGGGGTCTATGTCGGCACGTTCAGGGATGGGAGGGATGCCGGGGAGGTGGTCGAGTTTCCGGCGTTTTGGAGTAGAGGGTGTGGTATCAAGGCGCCGAGCGTGGTGGAAGATGCGAACGAGGCCGCCAGGATTATCTGTGAGTTCGATGAATGAGTGACTGTCCATGGTGAGGGGTGCTCATGAGTGCTGTGCCCCCCAGACGCAAGCCATTCCCTTGGCCTCACCTCGGGCCACCTCTTCACCAATCCCATTCCGGCGGCATACGAGATCCCGAACGAGGAGATACAGTCCATCATTGCCGAGTCGGTGAAAGTGGCGGAAGGGAAGTCCAGCGGGAAAGACGTCACGCCGTTCATCCTCAACGACATACTCAAGCGCACCGGTGGTCGCAGCATCGAGGCCAATCGTGGGCTGATACTGAACAACGCTGCGATGGGAGCAAAGGTCGCCGTAGAACTGGCAAGGCTTGAGGGCACTGGGTCTGGGAATTCTGCTGGCTTTTAGTTTCGTCCACTGTAACCGATGGGTCCTGATTGTTTTGTATTTAGCGAGCGTAGGCAGACACATATGCCGCACATCCCACCCTCGCAGATACGCCCGAAGGAGGAGGCAAACCCCGTAGTTCCATCGCCGCCCCCAGAGGTGGTCGTAGTCGGCGGTGTAGCCGTAGACGTAAACTGCGACACTTCCTCGCCGACTCCAAGTCTGCACACCTCCAACCCGTCTACCATCACCGAGTCCCTCGGCGGCGTCGGCAATAACGTTGCCTACGCCCTGCACCTCTCCGGCGTGCGGACCCGCTTAGTATCCTCCGTCGGCGCAGACCTTGCCGGCTCATGGGTGCGCGAGCGCGTACAGGAGCGCGGGATGGATACCGAGGGAATCTTCACCGACCCGGCCCGCGCTACAGCGAGGTATGTTGCCGTCAACGATGCCAACGGCGGGCTGTTCGTTGCTAGTGCGGACATGAGGGTCATCGAGCACCTGGGGACAGCAGATGTCACCGAGGTGATTAAAGCTGCGAATGCGGAGTGGGTGGTTCTCGACGGGAATCTATCACAGCAGACGACAAAGGGAGTGCTCGAATACTGTCTCAAATCCGGGATCAAAGGTCCCTCCTAACCCGAGTGATACCGTGTGCATACAGCTAACGAGTGAGTGCCCACCAGCCATCTTCGAACCCACCTCCACCGCAAAATCAGCACACATCTTCCACGCCACGCTTCCCCCACCCTTCATGTGCGCTGTACCTTGCGGCGCCCAACATCCACGAGCTAGACAGCATGTACTCTGCGGCGACAGCGGCGGAGCTATTCTCTACGTCGCTGCCGTGGTGGCCCACGATCGATGCACTCACGATCGACAGCGGGTTCCGCGACCGCGTGGACCAACTGGCGGCGCGCACCGGCGTCGACCTCTCCGAGAGCGGAATCGTCCAGAAGGCGGTGTCGCTGCTGCCGTACATCCCACGGCTGTTCGTTAAGCTGGGCGAGCAGGGCGTCATTGTTGTGCGCCTGCTGGAGGTGGGCGAGAAGCCGCGGAGGTCTAGGGAGAGTGTTGTTGTGGAGGCACGGGAGGGAGAGGAGGTGGGTGGTGTCGAGGTGAGGTATTTTGCCGCTGAGAAGCTGGGAGTGGACGGCGTGCAAAGCGTTAATGGCGCGGGGGATACGTTCCTCGGCGTTCTGGTGGCCGCTATGGTCCGTGGTCTGCCGCTGGAGGAGGCGGTGGGTGAGGCGCAGAAGGCCGCCGTGTTGACGCTCGGCGTGAAGGAGGCGGTTAGTGCGCGGATACGTCCTTTGTAAACCGCCAGTCAATGAATTGAACCGTTATATAAATACTCCTTGGTTAAGTACACCCAAACGCCCGAGCAAAAACAAATCCCATCCCATCCCATCTCATCTCATCCCAAATGCCCCCCCCCGCCCGCTCAGCCTGCATCATGGTCATCCGTAACGGCACGAAACACAGCATAGCCCCCAGTACCGCTGCCACCGCCGCCCCGAGAATCCGTAGCGCCACCCTCCCCCGCCCAAAGACCTTTCCCCGCCACCCGAGGCGCACCGCTACGTACGCCGCCACGCCCAGATTCGTGACCGACACGAGGAAGGCGTAGGTGGTGCAGCTGTACCACAGCGCATACTATGTATCCATCGTGAGCAAACAAGACAACACAGAGGGGAGGGTTTTGGGGGGAGAGGGGGGAGAGGAGATACATACCCAGACCACCTCTTCACGCCGCATGAACCGGTACTGGTTCAGTGAGGACACGATGCAGAAGTAGCTCCAGCACGCCGACAAGAAGTTTCCGATCACGAGGAGGAGCGCGATTTCGCTGTCAGCCAACATAGTTTCTTATTTTATTTTATTTCCGTCTTGCTTGCTTGCTTTCGAGGAGGTGGGCATGTGTAGGCTATATATTTCCCTCCCTCCTTCCATCCCTTCCATCATTCTTCCCTCCCTTTCATCCCTTTGATCCCCCTCAGGTGCCGCCCGCCCGCCCTTCCGTGGCACAGATCCTGCTGATCCGCCGGACTCCGGCGCTGTGTGAGAGGCGCATGGACGGCGCAACGGTTCTGTCGGACCACGGGGTCACGGTGCCGCGTTTCAGTTTAACGAGCCGTTCAAGCATATCTTCGTATTTTCCGGTAGATTACATAGGCAAAACATCCCGGCTGAAGAAGAAGCGAATACGACCTTCTATGCGTGCGTGCAAGTAAGAAAGTAAGTACATATGTAGGACTGTGAGACGGACGGAATGGGTTCCGGCGAACGATCTACGAGAGGGAGGGGGGGGGGCCGTGGTAGGTATGTAAAACGAGGGTGAGGTTAACTATGGCTTAACGTCGGGATATTTTACCGGATGGTCGGGATCGAAATTGGGCGTTTGGCTCTCGACCCGGGATCACGGATAAACACTCGGACTCTATATATTCCTCGCATATGATCTCCGTTTACATACATCGGTTGGTCGCCATAGTCTCGTAAGGCCGCATGCGACAATAAATTGATGTTCTCTCTCTCTTGTGTACATGCATCAACTAACCCCCCAAACACCCAACACACTGACACCTCCATTGCCTCGTGTATCAGCGCGCGTTCTCCAGCGCCTTCACCCGGCGCACAAGACTGCCCACGCCCAGCGGGCCGGCAATGGTGCACACCATGGCGGCCCAGACGACAATGAGATACAATCCCTCGGAGGAATCAAATATCCCCGAGGACTGGGCCACGGATGCGATAAGGAATGCAACTTCTCCGCGCGCCACCATGGCTAGCCCAAGAATCGAGGCTGGGTAGAGGGATTTCGGGGGTTTAGCGTCTTCTGCGGCGGCGATTGCGGGGGAAGCGGCCTCCGACGATTTGGGTTCGGTGGTAGTAGTAGTGGGAGTGCTTTGGGGAGTATGGGGAATTGGAGGTGCGGGTGTGACGCCCAGCTTCCGCAATTCGCGGAGCCGTTGCGATACCGTTGTCAGCACCGGCGATACGGGGAGGAGCCAGACGCCTGTAGCTAGTTTTCCGAGCACCATCAGGAGGGAGTAGACCAGCCCCTTCCAGACGGTTGTGGCGGCGAACATCTGGCGGATTGGGATCGAAAAGCCAATTGATGCCTGTCGCTGATCAGAAGGCATCCTCAGAAACTGCTGCGGGGTGGTACTTACGAAGAAGAACGGTGCCAAAAGCCGCCTGTTGATGGGGGAGTAATAGGTCTCGAAGACATGTACCCCAGAGACTCTATCACCCGTTTTCCCTCTCGTGCGGACATCATCCCACCAGCCCACCGCAGCACCCGCCAAAAAGGCCGCAAAAAGCACCGAAGCACCAGCGTAACTCGCCGCCGTCACCACGGCGAGTAGCATCGCCGTCTGCATTACCACCTTCGCCTTCAGCGTTTCCCCCCACCCCTTCACTTCGACTGTCCCCAGCGTCCGTTTCAGGCCCCACCCCCCAATCACAACCGCAATCAACAGCCCAACACTAGCACCCACCGGCCTTGCCACCGCCTCCCCGCTGACATTACCCCCACTCCCACCAAGCGACGCCACAACCTGAATCATCACCAGCCCGATAACATCATCCATCATAGCCGCGCTGGTGAGCACAGTGCCCAAACGCGTATCCGCCATGCCCGCGCTGGCCAGGATGGTAAACGTGGTACCCAGACTCGTTGCGGAGAGGGCAGCGCCGGCCGCAAAGCACTGCAAGCTCGTCGCGCCCGCCAGGGGTCCCAGTAGAAACGACAGTGCGATCGGAAGCGCGATGCCAGTGGCCGCGACGATGCTCGAGAGCACGAGATTCTGCATCAACGGCCGCAGAGCGGTGTTCAGCCCGCCCTCGTACACGATCAGGATCAGCCCCAGGTAGCCGAGTGTTACGACGGTGCTCTCGGTTGTGCGTGGGAGGAGGCCGCCGAGTGGTGTGCCCCAGAATACGCCGAGGAGCACTTGCCCGACCAGCCCGCAATAGGTAAGCGCATCGAGAAGGTGGTTGACGATGTTGAGGAGCAGGAGGAAGGAGACGTGCACGAGGATTTGCGTTTATGGGCGGCTCGTGAAGGGGAGCGCGTCGGATGTGGCGGTGTCGGTGACGGCCATTTCTGCGGTGATGATGCTGCCGATGGAGACATTGCGGGTGGAATGTGCGGTCGTGGATGTGCACATCCTGGAGACGCGGGATTGGCAGGTCCTTGGCGTGCTCCGGCGGTCAAATCGAAGTGATATTCCGTGAGGCGGGTTGCGCAAGAGGATGGAAGCCCGTTCGTTGACCATCTTGAGATCCACCAACATGGTTGGAAAGTATAAGCTGGTACTACCTAGAGCATAGATACACGTTCCCATTGATATCCTTCATCAAAGATCACTCACCAATAGTGCTGCTGAGCTGTACATGGTTCGTATCAGACGCACGCCCGCCTCCACCGTGAGCTTCCTTTGCTTCCGCTTCCGGAAAGGAGGTGCCCACAACCTATCGCACGAGACCGCACACTGTACCGAGTTTGCGCTGCAATGATCGCGAGTATAAGGAGCGACCCACCAGACGGATAGCTGGGAACCCAAGACGGTCTGTAACAGCTGTATGTACCGCCTAGCAGAGTCAATGGAGTGTGCAGGGCCGATGATAGCCACTGTATGCATGTGAACCACCGGAAGGGAGGTAAGGCGTAAACATAGCTGCGATTGCCACGCCTCTGCAGAGTATAGACATGCTTCTGGGACCCGACCAAGATCGTCCTTGCCCAATCGCCAATCGTGCGTATACCTAGTACCGTGGTCCCGGCGTCGTTCTCATTCAAATCTCCGATCAAATCTTATCTTATCTGTCTCCCCGTCGTTTCCGATCCGGACCCTCGTCGAAATCCTCTGCTAACTCTGACTACTTACTCCAAACTATCCCTGCTACCACATCATCTGAACACGGTGGAGCATTAAAACGAATCCCTGTCTTGACGCGCTCGCCCAACTACCTCTCGAAGGGCCTAGATATCTCCACCTACCTAGTTGCTTGGGAGCAGCTTAGAAGCAAAGGAGATCCACATCTACTCTAGACTCAGTGCTGTGCATGTCTTTCTCTCCTCTCCACGTTACCAGCACCGACCACAATTACTTCCGGACGAACAGGACAAGCACTCAGGACTTTGAACTTCAGCCCCTGTACGACCCAGACGTAGAAGACACTGACGACACCGACTCCAGCAGCAGCACCACCACCGCTTCGGTCCGATCGGGAGAGAGAATGAATCGTAGCAGACGAGGGGGTGGCTCATCATCCGGCAAGCGCAAGGGCATGAATTCCTCGTCGTCGGTCGAGTTCCGGCGCGGGAAGGTAGGGGTGGAAGGTGGGGAATCCTCGGCCGCGCAGACGGAACACCTCATCGCTCGGGAATCCTTCTCGCTCGATCACGATCACGATGTGTCGAAGCCCGCGGCCGCGTCGCTGATGGACCTGTCGCCAAAGGATAGGCGCAACTTCTTCCTGCTGGTGCTGCTCTACTTCCTGCAGGGCGTGCCGATGGGCTGGCGATGGGCTCAGTGCCGTTCCTACTCAAGTCGAAGCTCTCGTACGGCGGAGATTGGCGTGTTCACACTGGCGTCGTATCCGTACTCGATGAAGTTGTTATGGTCGCCGATCGTCGACGCAATCTGGAGCCCGCGGATGGGCCGGCGCAAGAGTTGGATCGTTTCCGGTTGCAGGCGGTCAGCGCCATCATGTTGCTCTGGTTGGGCGGGCAGGCGGAGAAGATGATGGAAGAGGCGAACACGAGGCTCTACTTCTTCACATGGGTGTTCTTTTGCTTGGTGATGCTCTGCGCGAGCAGGACGTTGCGGTGGACGGTATGCATGTTTCCTTCCTCTCCCTCCGAGCGTGAGGCTATTACCCGCGCCATCTATCGCCTGCAGCCATATATGCACCCCGGGTTTCATGGCGCCATCTGGCTCGAGATCGTATGACTAACGTGCTTTGACAGGCTGGGCGTTAACTCTGATATCCCCCGAGAACCTCTCGTATGCGTCGACCGCTCAGACCGTCGGACCTTACCGCCGGCCAATTCTTGTCGAACACCGTGTTCCTCGCCTTCAATTCGGCCGACTTTTCGAACCACTACTTCCGCTCGACACCCCTCAAGAACGGCCTCTTCACGCTTGGAGGCTACCTCCAGTTCTGGGGATGGGCCTACCTGCTTGTTACGATTGGTCTCGCGGTCCTCAAGAAGGAAGAGAAAACCAGCAACCGTGATGGCATCGCTAGCGTCTACAAGACCATGTGGAGCGTCCTCAAGCTCAAGCGTACCCGACCCTCCAGGCTATTATGAAAATACATGGCACATGCTGACACATGACAACAGACATCCAGACGTTCGTGATCATCCATCTGATCTCCAAGATCGGCTTCCAGGCGAACGACGCCGTGACCAACCTCAAGCTGCTCGACAAGGGTTTCACGCAGGAAGACATGGCACTGACGGTGCTGATCGACTTCCCGTTCGAGATCGCCCTCGGCTACTACGCTGGTAAATGGTGTGCGTACTTCCCGCCGATGAAGCTGTGGATGTGGGGCTTCGTCGGCCGCCTCATCGCCGCCGTACTCGCCCAGATCACGGTGTACATCTTCCCCAAAGACGGCGTGGTCGAGAGCTGGTACCTCCTCGTCGTCATCGCAGAGCACATTTTCTCCACCTTCGCCGGCACCGTCATGTTCGTCGCCATCTCTGCGTTCCACGCAAAGATTGCCGACCCCGAGATCGGCGGAACGTACATGACGCTCCTAGCCACGTACGTCCCCCTTCCCCCCGCCCTCCCCATCATCGCTTACTAACCCCCCACCCACCACAGCGTCTCCAACCTCGGCGGGACCTTCCCGCGGATCTTCGTGCTGAAGCTAGTCGACTACTTCACGACGGCGACGTGTTTCCCGCCAGAGAAGCCGACCTCCACCTTCCCCAGCCCGTTTGCGGAGTTCAGCTGCGCCCTCGAACTCGATAAGCCACCGCTGCATAGACCAGGGCGGCAAATGTGTCATCCAGCAGGACGGGTACTATGTCACGAACGTGTTGTGTATACTCATCGGTGTTGTTACCTTCTGGGGATATATCAAGCCCGCCGCGACGAGGCTGAGCGCTCTGCCGTTGAAGAGCTGGAGGGAGTATGATAGAATATGATATAGTACAGGGGGCCCGGGGATGGTGGTGCTTGTATCTGGATCTTGGAGATAGATACCATGTATGTACCGTGGATGAGAGGCGGACGCGTATTGTATTGATAGAACATGCTTCTGTTTGTTTTGTTTTTCGCTTCAGGTTCATCTTCTGATTACCATTTTCCTTGAGTTGTTTATATGGTGGGAGTTGTCTAGACCGATATGCATGTCTGTTTACTACTGCTATGTACCTCCTCTGCTATAAAAGACCAGAACATTCACCCTTACTACACCTATCGAGACCGAGACCGCAGAGCAGACCGAGAGCGCAGACGAGTGATTCCCCGTGCACGATGCCGCCCGTCATCATCATCGTCGCCCCTCCCTCCCCCCCCATCAATGCACTATGTACTCGCACGAAGCAATTTCGAAGATGCGGTAGATTATGTAGGGAGGTTATATGGTTGGGGACACCTAAAATAGGAGTGAAAAAAAATGCCCAACTCCACCCCCGGTTTAACTCAACCTCAACACCCAGTAAAATTAAAAGAGCTCTATAGCATGATAGAGGAAGGATTAAAGTAGGTCGCATAGAAGCGAAATAAAAATATAAAGCGTGATGAATTATTTAAGCGGGTTGAAAAGAATTGATTTGTATGGGCAGGATTTTTGGAACGTCGCAAATAATAGCATGCACTAAGGCTCTGGCACTCTTTTAATTTCCCACAGCGGTGATAGGAGTGACATATAGTGAGCCTTATTCGAGCCTTGGCGCGGATTGATCCTTGCTCATCCAAACTGAGCTCGCGCATGAGTGCTATTCGACTTGGACCTCTTCAGAACACATCCAAATAGGTCAAAAATGGGCCATACGGCCCAAAATCTTCATAATTACGAAAATTACTTGCTCTGTATTCGAAAAATTACCTGCGGCGCACTTATTAACCCCCCATTTTTGGCGTAGACACACTATAATCACTCGTGATTTGTCAGCCAAAATGAATGTCGCAATTCACTCCGGTTTATAGGCGTCCCCAACCATACTTAGAGTTGTCGTTATGTACCGACTCTAAGACTCTAAAGTTAAACGAGTGAGGCAGTGCAAGAAGAAAAGATGAATATGTGGTTACCCCGGCTCACCACCCATTGCAGGGGAGGGGGATATATCCACAGCTACTCTTGGTGGAGGTAGATACACAGTGAGTGAGGAGTACCGTATGTAGAGTAGAAGTGCCAGAAGTGCAGAAGTGCCAGAAGTGCCAGAAGTGCCAGAAGTGCCAGAAGTGCCAGAAGTGCTAGAAGTGCCAGAAGTGCCAGAAGTGCCAGAAGTGCCAGAAGTGCCAGAAGTGCCAGAAGTGCCAGAAGTGCCAGAAGTGCCAGAAGTGCCAGAAGTGCCAGAAGTGCTAGAAGTGCCAGAAGTGCCAGAAGTGCCAGAAGTGCCAGAAGTGCCAGAAGTGCCAGAAGTGCCAGAAGTGCCAGAAGTGCCAGAAAGTGCCAGAAGTGTCAGAACGATTTGTCGATTTGACGACTGTTGAAAGTGTTGACGTTTTGACTGTTGACTGTTTTCCTCAGACTCGAGAGAGAAAAGTGAATCAGATCAGATCAGATGAAAAAGGTAAGCATATGAAGCAAGGTATCCATAACGAAGAATCAGAAAACACGACAGAAAGGTCAAGAACAAGCAGAAACAAAAAAAGAAGAAAAAAAAAGAAGAAAAAAAGAAGAAAAAAAACGAAGTGGCGCCAAGCTCCATCCCATCCCCAACCTATCCAACACCCGGTCCCAAGTCCCAAGTTCCAAGTTCCAAGTTCCAAGTTCCAAGTTCCAAGTCCGCACAATCCCGCCGCCGGCCCGCCTAATAATCGCGTGCCCACTATCGACGAGCAGCTCGTCCCTCCACTGCACGACTAGCCTGTATAACATCGAGATGATACTCTCCTCGAAGACTGGGCCCTGCCCATCCATCGAGCGAGGGTCTTTAGCCTCTCGCTGATATCACCAATATCGACGAGGCCTTGTTCATAAAGCGGGTGGCACATGATAGGTCCCAGGCGGCGCCCGCCGAGCAGCTTCTCGCCCGTGCTCGGGAGTGTGGTGATTGCGATGGATCGGCCCGCGGTTCGGGTGCTGGCCACAAATATCGGCGAGGGTAAACTTCGCTGGCGGGTTGGAGCGCAGCGATTCTGGGTCCAGCGGTTTGAACGCCAGGGGCCGACTTCAGGCGGCGGGGAGTGCCGCCCCGCCACTGCCGCACGCCAAGCTCCCGCTGATTGCCGCTGCCGACGAATCGTGTTATCGTGCAGCAAACGGTTCTCGAGCGTTTCTGTCCTTATTCCAGCGCCGCCTTGAGCTTGTCGTTCTCCACGGCGGCCCGCGTGTTCGCTTGCCTCCAGCGACGCCAGCCGCTGCTCGAGCTCTTGACGTGGCGCTCTTTGCGCTCGACGGAACGAGCGTTGTCTGGTGGTGTGTTAGCTGTCTAGTGCGGCGGGGGGGGGGGGTGGGGGTGGTGGGTGGGGAGAGGGGAGGCAGGGGGGAAGTACGCGGCGCGGTTCTGCTCCTTCCGTCGCTTCTGCCCGGGCGTCAGTTCTTTCTCCTCGCTCGACCCGCGGCCGCCCCGCGAGTTGTGGCCGCTGCCGGTGCTGCTCGCGCTGCCCTCGTGGGTGGGCGAGGGCCCGCGCGCCATGGCCGGGATGCCTCCGGAGGCGTGCGTGCCGGTGGCGCCCGTGAGGTCGAAGGGGTGGCCGAAGGAGGCGGCGAAGGAGGCGTCATAGTACGGCTACATAGAGCGACGGAGAGGGGTTAGCAAGGGGGTGTGGTGGTGAAGCGGGGCGGGAGCAGGGGCTGCGCTGGGGTGCCAACCATCGCGAAGTCGTCTGCGGGTTCGGCGTGGGCGGGAACTGTGGGCCGCCGCCGTGCTGGCCATAGAATGGCGGCTGCTGGTGCTGGTATGAGGCCATCCCGTGTTTGTTGTGGGTGTCGGCGGGCGAGTGTTGGGGGCGGACGGGTGGCGGTGTAGGGCCAGAGTATGGCGAGTGGTCGGAGCGAACGCCAATGACGGGGGAGCTGGCGGTGGAGATGTGTGCTGAACTGGCAGAGCAGACGAGAGTCTGCGTATCGAGTGTATAGTACCGTAGTTGCCGTAGTTACCACAGTTGCCGTGTTTGGGCAGCGTGATTTTTGATTTCTGATTTTTGATATTGATTTGATTTTGATTTTGAGTTGAAGATCAGATTCGCACGGCTGGCCAGACCGGCTCCCTTTAAAGCGCGCGACGACGAAGACGAGCGACAGTAAGGTTGCTCGAGTTACTTTAGTGCAGCCAACCCCGGGACGCTGGGCAGCACGCCGACCACACTGCATTGGGGCTCTCGGCATCGGGCTTATTGTGTTATTCACTCTGAATATAACTCGAAATGGACAACTTCGCACGAACCGGGACTGCTGCCATTCCAAATTGGCTCGTCCCCTCCAAGCACAGTTCCAAGCACACTTTCCAACAATCGAGCACAATTCCAAGCTCCCCCCGCGCCTACCCTGCAGCCAGCCAGCCCAGCCCAACCAGCCCCGCCAGCGGCCAGCCAGCCAGTCAGTGCGGAAGTCCCACAAGTTGCGCCTCCCTCGCCTGTCGTTGGCCAGTCGCTCTCTCGCTATTCTGTCCTCAGCCCATCCATCCTTCCACACGCTCCCCTCTCCGCCCCCCCCCCCCCCCCCCCCCCCCCCCCCCCCCCCCCCCCCCCCCCCCCCCCCCCCTTCCCCGACAAGTCTTGTCTCTGCGTGCGTGGCCCTCCCTGCCCGTCAGATGTCGGTAACTACTCGCAACCAGTCTAGACAGCTTCCGGCGTAAGAGTTACCCCAAAAACTTTAGTTGGACCGCACTCGAGGCCATGCCCTCTACGTACTACTATACATAAAAACCACCCAGCCCTCTGGTGAACGAGAGACATCATAGAGGACCTACCTTCGACTCTAATTTGGCGAAGCGTCTTGCAGCTGAAACATCATGGGGGAATGTGTGTGCGGTGCGGGTGGTGCGTGCAGCGCGGCCAGAAATGGTGAGAACAATTGAAATCGACATCTTCTCTCTCTCAACTCTAGTTGCTCTACTGTGTTCCGCACCGCTTTGGTCGTGGGCATTTGGGCAGTGGGATGGATGGATGGGCTGAGAACGAAATGTCATCCTCCCCTTCCCCCACTTCTATCCTCCACCACCTCCACCACTTCCTCCACCTTTACCTCCACCTCCACCACAATCATGACCACAACCACCACTCCCTACATGCTGAAAACGATATGCCTCCTCCGCGTGCTCCCGGTTCTAGATCCCCCCTCCCCCCCATCCCCCGCAAACAGAGCGCAGGTGCAACTTTCAGCCTTACAAGCGAAACTGTGCGTGCGGTCATCGCGGAGAAGATTACTTAGCATATGGTATGATGAACACAGACGATCTGCTCTTCCCCTTCTCCTCCTCAGGATGCTGGTGGTCTTTGTAGAGTAGCTAGTTCCCTATTAC